ATACCGTAAATCAAAAAAAGTTTACTGTTATTTAGTTTGGTTTAAAACCTACAAAATCTTCATTGCTTTCACTATAATTTATTTTTTTATTATTTAGGGAGCATCATAAATAGTTGTTTTTAATAGAAAAAAACTACTATTGTTATAAACAACACATTCAATTGAACTAAACTATGCATGCCTATTTAAATATATTTACACATGGCTTGTGTATATCGTATATATACATGTATATTATTCATACCTTCGGTGTATAGGACGCAAGCAGATTTTGACATCAAATTTTGGGGTAAAAAAGTGCGTCTTACACACCGAAAAAATACGGTATGCTCTGAATTGATGTAATGAGCTTGTAAGTAGAGGAAAAGTAAAATCATCGCTATATCTAAAGGTGAACAATAAGTGGCAGTCTATTAATTAACACTTAAACTGAAGTGGAAAGAAAAACAGTGCGGTTTGTTTACTGTTGTATCTTATGTGATGAATAACCAACATCGCAAGTCTGGTAACGATTCCTTTATTTACTATATAACTGAAGTCTTTGGACATTAAAACTATCAGCAACAAGAAAAACAAGTGTGTTAGTTGTTGCTTTTTATATACCTAAAGATGTATCCTAAAACACCAGTTGTTGAATTTAAGATATGTGGAGGGCGATAATAACTTATAATAATAACATATTTTCACCATAAAACTAAATATTTAGACACGCCCCGTTACACAAACAAAACTAATAAACTAAATATTTAGACACGCCCTGTTACACAAACAAAACTAATAAACTAAATATTTAGACACGCCCTGTTACACAAACAAAACTAATTCGTATAATTTTTTTTCAATGTTGTAATAAATTCCCAAACTCAAGAAATGACATAAATTATATACACGAGAGATATAGCCTGAGTACGCTAAAAATACGGTATTAACAATAATGACAAGTTTAGCATGTTTGTAACCAAGTTTTACAATGCATCACTTACCTCGCATCTCGTACGGTTAATGTTGTACAGACTAAGTTGGAAAACCCGATCCCTAAAAACAGAAACAAAACGTTTATATACGACATCTTACAGCAAAGAACAAATCACAAAACATATTTCAAATATCTCGCATTCTCTCACACATGGCAAATTATCTTCTGTTCTATAATTGTTTTCGGTTTGAAGCACCTGAATATAAATAAAGAAATGTGTGAAGGGAAAACTCTCCCTCTGTTAAAAGTACAGTTTTCCTAGAAAGTCACAAACATGTTGAAAAATATTTAACTACGAGTTTCATTGCCTTTTCGAAGTAAGAGATCGATTTGGTTTGGCTTGTTTAAAAATTCGCGCAAAGCTACACGAAGGCTACCTGCGCTAGTAGTCCCTAATTTTGCGGTGTATGACTAGATGGAAGGCAGCTAGTCATCACCAGCCACCGCCAACTCTTTTACCAACGAAAAGTGGGATTGACCGTCACATTATAACATCCTCACAGCTGAAAGAGCGAGCATGTTTGGTGGGACGTTAATTCGAACCAGCGACCAGCAGATTGCAGTCGAGCGCTCTAACCACCTGGCCATGCCAGGCTGCAAGAGATCGAACCCAAAACTGTACTCCTTCGTCTTTTTTTTTCTCTTGAAAACACGGAAAACACTCACAAATTTGGTAAAAATGAGCAAAATATCTGCAAGGATTTTCAGTAGCATTCATTTCCCAAGAAAATTGTTGTTAAACAGGGGAAGTGGATCGGAAGTGATGTGTAGCAGTCGAGTCGAGAAACTTGACAGAAATGGCGAAGCAGTTGCGTCAATTCTTGTTCAAAGCTGCCCATTTCACAGTAGAGATGTGGTCAAGATTTCTACTGTCTGAATTTGGTACACTTAATGCATTAAATTAAATAATATTCTGGAATTTTGCTTCTACGGAAAACTATATTTCACCTAGAAGTAAGAGATATCGTAAAATATTTTAATTATGAAATACATCTCTAATTCAGGCTTAAGCGCTTATTCTAACCCTATAGTATAAAACGGAAGTGTGTTTTGAATTTCGCGCAAAGCTACACGAGGGTTATTTGCGCTAGCCATCCCTAAGTTAGCAGTGAAAGACTGGAAGGAAGGCAGCTAGTCATCACTAACTACCGCCAACTATTGGGCTACTCTTTTACCAACGAATAATGGGATTCACCATCACTTTAACGCCCACATGGCTGAAACGGTGAGCGTTTTCGATGACGGGGATTCGAACACGCGATTCTCAGGTTGCAAGTCAAGCGCCCTAACCACCAGGCCTCCTACTAGAAGTTATATGGTGTGAATCAGAAAAGAGCGAGAAATTCAAACAAAAGCAATATTTTTATTCTCCGCATTGTAGCTGGATATTTTAGTTATTATGGGAAAAAAGTCAAAATACTGAAAATGTTGTAACGTCAGTTTTGTTCAAACTCAACCATTAACAATAGTCACTGCAGTAACGATATAAGGGTTACTCTATAAAATACAATATTTTAATTTTTTTTTAATATATGGGAAACTTTAACATGAATTGGGTTTGCTTTTGGACTACTAAGTGAGCATGTCAATTCGGTCTGGGTCGGTCAACTTGTTTAGGAGAATATGCTTCCACAGACAGACAGAAAGTGTTCCTTTGTATTGGATAGTTTTTGCACCGGTATGGCTTAATATATAGCGCACATGTGAATAACACCTGTATTCAAATTTTTATACTCAACTATGCGCTTCTCTCACCAGAGCTGGATAATGAAGGTTAAAATAATATAAGAATAAACCTAAATATGTAATAACTTAGTTACTTCTGGTCGTTAACTCCAACACACAATTCTTAAAATAGTTTCTAAAATGGTTTAGCTTGGTCTAGGTTGTAGAAAATATTGTTACGTCTCCGTTTGTTAATTAACTTTCCGTAACTTCGTTCCGACGAAATTTTAACGACACAAGTCTTT